ACATAGTATATGTATCATAAGGCATTGACTATCAATATTTTCTATTTTTAATTATTTTTGTTTGTTGTTGTTTACAGGATATGTTTGTATGGAAGACCTCATCAGATATATTACACTCAATGCCAAAGACTGGAGGTAGCATTGGACCCATTGATACTGGAACCATTAAAAGAGCATTCACGTAAGAGAGGGAGAGAGAGAGGGAGAGAGAGAGAGGGAGGGAGGGAGGGAGGGAGAAAAAGAAATGTTTTGTGTACATGTATTACATCAATCTAATATTTCTTGATTATTAATTATTAGTGATAGTATTAAAGGAATGAGAAGGAAAGTGAAGAGAACTATATCAAATCGTTCCAATAGAAGACCATTCACACCATTGAGGTACTTATAGATATACTGTATAGAGAGAGACTAGTGACATATTATGATATTATTGTGGTACATATTGTATTTATATTATTAGTAAAAATGTTGATCAGTTAGACACAATGGATGAATCATTTACTGATCTTGTAAGTAATATAGTATTAGTAAGAATACTATGAGTGACATACCCTCCCTCCCTCTCTCTCCTCTCATAGGATTCTACTCTCAATACTTGTACACTATCAGTAGCTCCTCCTTTTCCTCCTACTCCAATGAGAGCTCCTCCCACTAAAAGACAAGCATTAGGATATGGACATTCATTTAGTTCAATGGATCTCACTAAATTAGGATCCACTGGTACACTCTGATACTGAACATGCATGTTAACTATTATTATTATTATTATATTTTTAATTCTCTCTCTCTTTCTAATGAGATGTGACGTTATTATTGTAATCTTGTCTTTCTTTCTCTGTTTAATAATTATTAACTTAAAGCTGCATATTTTGTATAATGACAGCGAGACTACATAAGAGTTTATCTTAATTAAAATAGTACAAGTTAATGAGCTACATGTAAAGGTTATAGTCAACTATGATGAAGCAGCATGTAGTTAATTTGTATAATGGTATTGAGACAATAACCGTCTCAATCTTGTGCTTGCTCCAGTTGTGGTAGTGGTGGCATCAAGTCTAAATTATCTTCATCAGGATAGAGTGACTAATGATTATTAATAATTATTAAATTTAACCTTTGTTCAAACATACCCCTTCAATGCGTTCTGCTTTTATTAATTTAATTAATACTCTATTAAAAGTTGATTATTATTATAGTCATACAACATTCACCTATCATAACTTACTCTTGCACTTCCTTCATCAGGTTTCTGTCACCACTTACCAGAAAAATATGTAAATGTAATCCTTTATTAAAATATGATTTTGGTTGTGCCTATTAATAAGTACGTC